GGGGCCAGCAGGCGGACCGCCGCCTCCAGCTGCTGCTTCTCCCAGAGCCAGCAGGTGAGGAGCCCCTCGGGCATGGCCGTGGCGGCCGCCAGGTACCGTCCGTCGGGGGAGAAGGCGAGGGACACCGCCTGCCGCGCCGGCAGCTCGGCGGCCGCCAGCGCCCCGCGGCGCCGCGCCCGCTCCGCCGACAGCTCGTACACCGCCAGCACCGGCTGCTCCCCCGCCGCCTCCGACACCGCCAGGAACCGCCGGTCGGGGCTGACGGCCAGCGCCTGCACGCCCCGGCTCTTCTCGGTGCCTGCGGGGAGCGGAGCGGTCAGGGCGGGCCGCGGGGGGACTGGGGAGCTGGGGGTACCGGGGTCGGCGGGAGCGGGGGTTTCGGTGCCACCTGGGATGAAGTTGTGCCACTTGTGCTCGAGGTGCAGCCGCAGGCAGCCCGCCCCGGCCGCGTGCAGCACCACCCGCTCCTCCAGGAAGCAGACGCCGCCGGCCACCCGCGGCCGGCAGCCGAACACGGCCACGGGCAGCGCGGCCGCCGCCATGGCCCCGCCGAGCCGTCGCCCTGGCGACCGGGCGCGGAAGCGGCGGCCACGCGGGAGGAAGGGGCGGGCGCTCGGCGGCGGCGATGGCGGCGATGGCGCGGAGAGGGTCCCTGTCGGACTCCGGGTCGGACTCCGGGTCGGACTCCGAGGACTCCTCGCTCTCGGACTCGGAGGTGAGAGCGGGCTCGGGGAGGGGCGGGCGGCGGGGCCTCCCTCCCGCGGCAGCCGCGGCCTGACCGTGCCCGTCTCACAGCTCCAGGAGGCGTTCGCCAAGGGGCAGCTGAAGCCGGGGCTCAACGTGGTGCTGGAGGAGCGGCCGAAGCGGCGCAACGACACGGTGAGCGGGGCCGCGGGCCGGGGGGGGCTGTCCCGGGAGCCTGAGCCGTGCGGGGCCGTGCCGAGCTGTGCCTCTCTCGCAGGACGGCCTGAAGCAGTGCCTGGCCGAGTTCGGGAAGCAGCTCGCGTGGGTGGAAAGGCTGGACGTGACTCTGGGCCCCGTCGCGGACCCCGTCGCCCAGAGCGCTTCTAGCACAGATGCTGTTGACCCCGAGAACGATTTCCAGAGAGAGATGAGCTTGTAAGTGCCGGAAAAGAGGTTTCACGTAGGGTCTCGGCATGCTGCTGCGTGGTTGTAGTTGTGTTTCACCCGTGTGCTGCAGGGTGCCTGTCGCTGGCACTCTTGGGCCATGTTATTTAGGATTTGATGGCTCTGAATGTTTTTCAAAATAATTGCAAATTAGTGCTAGTATATTTCATTTGCCTTGTAACTGAAGACACATAATTTCCCTCCTCCCAGCAGAATTCCATCCTTTGCCGAAAAGCATATTTTAAAAGTGCCTTGGTGTCAGCACTAAGGCTGTAATACAAGATATTGATTTTTCCATGTGGGTTTGTTTTGGTGATCTTACAGTTCCCTTGTTTTGCTTTGCCTTTTGTGTTCCAACATATTAAACTGTAACTGGCAATAAATGCATGCTGCTTTCAGTAGCGCTGTCTGTGCACAGAGTGTTGATATGATTCTAGAGCTGGTGCAGTGACAGAGGTGGTGCTGTGCTCTCTCCCAGCTACCGGCAGGCTCAGGCAGCTGTCCTGGACGCCCTTCCTAGGCTGCGGAAGCTCCAGGTTCCCACCAGGAGGCCGGACGATTACTTTGCAGAGATGGCCAAATCGGACCAACAGATGCAGAAGGTATGTGCAATGAGTGTCTTTCTTTCTTTCTTTCTTGTGTGATGTGTTGGTTTTATCCCTGTGTTAGGGTGTTCGAAATTTCATTCCTGACAGGCGATTTCTTTCTGTTCAGGTGTTTCAGTGCAGTGTGGGCATTTCTGTAACAGGTTAGAACAGGAAGTAGAAAAGCACTATTTATACTTTGTCCTGCATGTGTTTAATATTAAAAATGGAGAATTTTTCTCAGTGTGAGTGGTTGTAAAGTTGGCTGTGTTTTTGCTCTTTATCGTAAAACTTGCACTTGACTGTGTCTTTTACACGATCCTTTTTTTTCTATTTATCACCCTTTGTTTATAGTCAGTGTGTTCTGTTTCTCAGTGGTTTTAGACTGCCTGTTATTGAATGAGTCTGTCTTGGATAGAAAGTCAGATTTGTGTAGGAAATAAGACTCTGATGAACTTGGGTTTTACTGTAGTCTTTGCTCCAAATGGAACTCTATTTTTTGGTTTAGATTTGGAAAAAAGACTACATTGTATAAGTTAAAAAAAGGTGAGTCTAATTTGGAGATTCACATATGACTTATTTTGGTGTTTGATAGAACCTTTCTGGAGAAGATAAAGAGTAGTAAGTAGTTTGTGCTAAGGCTTAAGTCAATTCTGCACATTACTGTTCCTTTCTTTTGCTGACTTTGTCTAAAGAGCAGAGCTTTTATTTCCTAGTGGAGTCATAGACTAAATCCAGAAGATCTGTGTTGAAATCCTTGTAATCCTTTGTAATGTGGCATCCTTATAAAAATGTGACCAAGGAGGGAATGGAAAAGATGTTTTCTGTGGCGCAGGATTATTGGCTCTTCTTCAGTGCTTTATTTTTAGTAATGACAAGGCAGAAACTATCAAGTCTTCTTCATGCACCCAAATGGACTGACAAGATAATCTCGGTTCCATTAGAGCCCATTATAAGGCTTTGTCTTGTCTCTGAGTACTGTCTTTATAACTAGGTTTTGGCTGCAGATCAGTTCAGGAGTTTCTGTAATAACTGGTTTAGCCTTGATCTGAAAGGACATTGTGCCTTATAAGCATGATCTGATTGAGAGGTGTTTTCTTTTTTACACTCATATATAGTTCACAAATACTGACTTAAGGACTGCTAAGCAGTCGTAAAATTCTCTTATTTTCTTTTGTGTTACTCATAAATTTTGTTTTTTCTATTCCCTAATAAGATTCGACAGAAGCTTAAGAGTAAACAGGAAGCAATGGAAAGGTCTGAGAAAGCGAAACAGCTCCGTGCAATGAGAAAATACGGCAAGAAGGTGAGGAACTACAAAAGGGAGCTACAATCTGTGACAAGAATGTAGAGCCTGAGTGAGCAGCTTGGAAAGTGAGACCACCAGAGCCTGGCTAAAATATATAGAATTTGGCTAGTCTTCTGTCTAGCTGCTCTGAAGGAAAACAGAGCTAAAGATAGGATACCTTAAAAAATAGCTTAAAAAAAAAGTATAGGATACTGCAAAGAACAACACTAACATTCTGCTTCTGATCACAGGTGCAAACTGAGATTCTGCAGAGGAGACAGAAGGAGAAAAAAAATATGTTGAATGCAGTCAAGAAATACCAGAAAGGTAAAGTCAACTTGACGAAGAGAGCAAATGTGTGATGCCAGCAGTGGTGTGGAGCAACGTAAGACAGTGTGATGGGTGGTCACTACACCTGTAGTTCTGGGCCTTGAGCCTGGGAGGCTGCTGTGCAAAAAGAACCATGTGCCAGTGCCAGTGCAAAGCCTCCCAAGTAGCTGTTCTTCAGTGAGGGTGACTTGTTGCTATTACTTGCTTAGACTTTGTTTTTTCTGAGCTGTGATGTCTTCGCTCTTGCAGGTCTGTCTGACAAGCTGGACTTTCTAGATGATGACCAGACATCGTCTCAGGGCAATAAAAAAGGCAGTGCAAGTCAACGGACAAAGAAAGGGTGAGGCTGCAGATGAAAGATATTTAAACACAGAATGTCTGATTCTTCTCTGTCTTTTTAGGGGATAATTTTGGGAACGTGAAAGCTGTCCTGATGAGTGTTTGTTAAATAAGTCCAAGGTGGCTTTCTGTTCTTAGAGAGAAAGAAAACTGGCCAGAATGGCACAGAGACTGAAATGTGCTAATTTCTACATCTTTATTATGGGGGAAAAGGTTTATGATGGCTGTTGGGAGCCCATCAGCACATACATGTGCCTTGAGAGCTTCCTGAGGAAAGGAATGTAAGCAGTGATGCTGTTTGGTTGTTTTTCAGACCAAATGCCAAAAGAAGATACAAAAATCAGAAGTTTGGTTTTGGTGGGAAGAAGAAGGGCTCAAAGTGGAACACAAAGGAAAGTTTCAATGATGTATCCAGCTTCCAGTCAAAAGTGGCTCACAGCAAAGGCCCAGGAAAAGCAAGAAAAGGAGGGAAAAAAGCCCTCAATGTAAGTAAAATGTTGTATGCAAATGCTTGTGGTTGGCTGAGAAGCCAGCCCTCATCTGGGAGGGAGAGCTGAGTACATGATGGGTGCCTCCAGCATCAGGAAGTGTTAATGCCTGTCTTTGGGAGCTGAGCATAATTGGGTTGCTGACAGAGCTGAGAACAGTGGTTTGGTATTAGCAGGGAAATAAACAGGGGAGTTAACACTACTTGCTACCCATGTGCCAAAACCTCCCTCTCCACATGTACTGCCAAATACCCTCCGCAAGCTATAGAAATAGAACACATATTAAGAACATGAAAATAAAGATCTGACTCTGTCTGTTTGTTGCAGAAGAGACCTGGAAAGAGAGCAAGGCAGAAAATGAAGAACCGAGCGCGCTAAGAGGACTGTGCTTCCCGCTGGGGTTCTTGTGTGTCTGGGTGTTGCAAATTGTGCTTCTGCTGTCATCAAGCAGCTAACCCTGGAGCAAGCTGGATGCTTCCAGGTGGCGTGGAAAAGAGTCAGTGGAAACTAGTGCCTTATCACTAATTTCTTCTTACTGTTTTGTCGAAGGATTGTTTTTAACGTAAGCGTGTGGTGTGTGAACGCATTAAATGGTTTGCACAGAACTGTGTGTAACTCATGTTTAGCTGTTTTATGAGTGGCAGCTGGAGCCTGCCCTTTGCACCCTTCATTCTGACGGCTTTTTTCACCACTACTGCTGATGTGAAGTTGGAGACCTTGAGTTCTGGGTCATGTTGCTGATGTCCAAATGAGAAGTCTGAAGCCTGTCAAGATGTTAGAATGGTTTTTTAGACTAATTATATAGATGGGTTTAGAAACAGCAGTGAGACAAATACAGCAGTCTTATAAGTTTATTTCTGTCAGTGTTGTCAGGCTGCAAATCTGGACAGACTGAGGTTCTCTCTTTCCTTTTCTATTGTCTCTTACTAGAAATCTACCAGACTCGCCTATTAATAAGCAGGTCTAACACATTACATCAGTGTCATTCTGAGTTTGTAGCTTTCCCCCTCTACTACTGAAGATTCTTTCCTCCTCCCCATGCCCCAGGGCAGCCGTTTATGTAGTGAACTCGGTTTTCCGGCGTGGGAAGTGGAGTCTGCAGTCGTTACGGTCCACAGGAATCTGGGAAAGGAAAATGACAAATAGTCACGTGCTTTTACTAAAATTGGTAGTAGCAGTCCCTCCTGGGAAGAGAGATGCATGGTGTTCTTGCTGCTGAGAAATGTCCAAGTGAAAAACATCAGGGTACCACCATGCTGTTCACTACTTTGTTAGGGTAGGACCTGGTGAAAAAGGCAAGATTAACAAATTAAACAGAATTATGAGCCTTGACCCTATAAATTGAGCTTGCTTCCCTTCATGCACATTTAGTTGCCTCTTCCCTGCCAGCCTAATCCTACCAACACCTCTGAATCCTGCAAAGAGCTGAGTCCTTAAGCACCCTACTCACCAGAGGTGTTGTGTTCCAGCCAATTTCTTGGCTTTCAGTTTGTGGCTCTGGATATTTCTTTCTTGGCTCCAGCGCTGCGCGGTGAAAAAGTTTCAGGAACTCGTCTGTTGGTTTAAGAGACACAAATATAAATGAAAGAAAGCATTAAAAAATTTAAAAATCACTCACCTGTGGATGTGTGTTAGAATTGGGACAACTTAAAGCTGTCCTAGCAATAGCAAGAAAGCCAAGGATAAAAGCAACCTCTGTGCTTCTATGAATGACACTGTCAGAGAATGCAGGGTGACATTTCTACTTCAGTATTCCTGGTGCAGTTTCAAGATTTGCCTGGTGATACTGTCCTGTCAATTCTTACCTGAGCATTAAGGTTTTTGGACAAAATTAGCATGTTAGAAATAAGGGAGCAGCTGCTGTAAAGGGTTCTTATTACCAATGGTCTAAAGCAAGACTGAAAGATATTTCAGCAGTTTACCATATGTGGTGGTTGAGTAGAATCTGCAGTGACAGGCAATGTGTAGATCATGTTTCCAGTTGTTTTGGGGAGGTTTAGATTCTCAAGCAAAATTTTATAATATGGATATAAAAAACATTATATATTTCATAGTATAGTTTTTAAATAAAAACAAATAGCATAATTGCATGAATGCAGACTTTTGCTGATAATGGAAAGTAATGGGAAAGGGCCTAAAGTGGAAAAAACCCACTGGTTTACATTTAACAAAAATCATGAATGAGTTTTAATTTTTTTATATGGCCACAGAGGTGTTTCCACAGACATGATATTTTAGACTGATTGGAATTATTAAATCTTATTTATTAGTAATTTTCTTAAGTAATTTTGAAAAAAACAAAACAAAACAAACAAAGATTTTTCAGAGATTTCTTACCATCTGTTGGCTCATCTATATTATCATGCCGAGACATTGGCTTCCTGGTGACCGTGTGAACTGGAAAGAAATAATAGCAGGTGAATAATGTGAATTTAGCATCACAGCCAGGTACAGAATATGTATCACTGCAGATGTTCTTTTTGGTTATTCCCCAGTGTGGACCCAGCTACTTCACTAAGGCTGTAAAGGAAGAACAGCATGTGAATAGCAGAAAATGAGTTAGAAATACTGATTAATGGCAATTTCCTAGGAAGGCAAGGGGCCTAAGCATGCTAAAGGCCCTTCTACTGGATGCTGCCTGTGTTCACCACACCAAAGTCCCACCCCACCCAAGTGGTGTCCTCCAAGTGCAAAGTCTCAAGAAATTATTTTCCTTTGGTTTTTGTTTCACTGTAAAAGCTAGACCTGAATTAATCTCCTCCCATCACCTGTCTGTGCCAGCACAGACTGTGATATTCTGTGGCTCTGAATTGGCAGGTCCAGGGGGTCTGAAGGAACACGGTGTAGTGTTTGGGCTCTCTACCCCATCTTAGCTCTGTATTTGCTTAGGATTTGTAGGTTCCACATCCTAAATAGTTGTCTCGCTTCTCCAGGGTTACTAAAGGCTATCCGGGAATGTCTCCTTGCTGTCTCTGGGCACGCAGACCGGCTCCTCAGGCGAAAGAAAGGCCCACCGGCTGCCCCTTCCAGCGCTCCCCCTCTGCCCCTCCTGGGTGCAGCTGAGCGCTGCGGGCCCGCCCCCGCCTCACCGGGTAGGAGCGGGTTCACGGTGTACTGCGTGTAGAGCCTCTGGTGCCGCATCTCCTTGTGCACCCGCTCGCTCAGGAGCCGGTCGAGCTGCACCGCGTCCGGCCGCTCCCGCTGCCCGCCGCGGGCGGCCATGGCCGCGCCGGCCCCGCGTCCCGCTGCCTGGCAACGCCTGACGCGGGGGGGCCTGCGGGGCCGCCCATTGGCCCGCTCGCCTCCCCGCCTCCCATTGGCCGCCGGGTTAAATCCCCGCGGGCGCCGATTGGCGGCGGCGCACGCGGCTCGTTCAAAACGGCCGGCGCGGCGATGGCGGCGGCGCAGTTGCGCTGCACGGCGGCCGTGGAGGAGCCGCTGCCGGGGGGCTGCGCCCCGCGCCGCCGCGTCCTGCGGGCCGCCACCGTGCTGCTGGGCCGCAACGAGCTGCGCCAGCCCGTGCTGCGGGTGGAGGGCGGCAGCGGCGCGGCGGCCGCGGTGCTGAGCTTCGCGCTGAGCGGAGACGGCGTGCGGCTCTTCACGCGGTTCGCGGGCGAGGGGCGGGCGGCGGTGCGGGTGGGGCCGGGCGGCGCGCAGGTCCTGCTCTCCGACTGCCCCCCGGACGCGCTGCGCCGCTTCCTCCGCCTCCTGCGCCTCAAGGTGGCCGCCGGGTCGCGGGGCCCGACGCGGCCCCCGCGCCTGCTGGAAAGGCCGCCGGCGTCCTTCGCCGTGATCAGCCCGGTGCAGGAGCGGGACCTGCTGCGCAACCCCGGCCCCCGCCGCGGCTGCGGGGACGGGCGGGGGGAGTGCCCCGCCGAGGTGAGTCCCGGGGCGGGGGGCTGTCCCAGTATCGACCCCGGGTGCGGGCGCTGCCCTCACAGCGCACCGCTGTCTGTCTGTCTGTCTGTCCCGCAGGTGCCCCGCGCCGAGAGGCGGCCCCCGGCGCGGCTCTCGGCGGAGCAGGAGGCGGTGCTGGGAGCCGTGCGGAGCGGGAGGAGCATCTTCTTCACCGGCTGCGCAGGTGGGAGCGCCCGGCGGCTCTCGCCGGGGAAAGCCCTCGGGCTTCGCTGCTGACCTGTCGCTTCTCTCTCCCCGAAGGGACTGGGAAGTCGTTCCTGCTGAAGAGGATCGTGGGCTCCCTCCCTCCGAACGTCACCTATGCCACAGCCAGCACGGGAGTGGCCGCTTGCCACATCGGTGGCACTACTCTCCATGCCTTTGCAGGTAATGCCTGCCCGACAGCGAAGAGCTGGGAGCTTTCACTCCCTTCCCAATGAATTAGGAGCTTCTCAAAGCTTTGCTTTCTTCTGCCCCGACAGGGATCGGCTCTGGGAAGGCACCGCTGGAACAGTGCATTCAGCTGGCAGAGAGGCCGGGGGTGCGGCAGCACTGGCTGGCCTGCCAGCACCTGATTATCGATGAGATATCCATGGTGGATGGAAAGTTCTTTGACAGGCTGGAGGCAGTGGCAAGGTGAGCAAACGTCAGGTCAAGCAACTAACTGAAATGAATTTCCCTAAGTTTTCAGACTGCTTCCTTCCTCTGTTTCTGTAAATAGATACAAGGCAGCTGCTGTCATAGGACCATAGGGAAGCGTGGAATCATAGCATCTGGGCAGGTCTTTATCATGAGATAGGTTTTGATCATGTCCCACCTCAATCACAGCTGTGGCTGTTCAGATTGCTCTTTCCATCTCCTGAGCTAAGTGTTGCCTGTAGAGCTGAGTCCAGAATACAGCTGTTTCCAGCTGTACTTCTCTCTTGCAGAGAGAAGTAGCTGTAATTCAACAGCTACAGAAGAAAGACCAGTAGGGACATCTGGGGTGGGCAGGCAGAGAAAACTTCATGTCTTGTAAGAGCATTGCTTAATTATTTGAGCTCTTCTGATTAAGCTGAGGATAAACACCTTTTACTGCAGTTAGTGTATGTTTGAATATACTGATAGACTAAGAAGTAACTTCTGAGACCTTATTATGTCCAAGTTCTGGAAGACATTCAAAACTTATCTCCTGTGTCTCTTTCAGGGCAGTCAGAAAACGGGATGAGCCTTTTGGGGGAATTCAGCTAATCATCTGTGGGGACTTCTTGCAGCTACCTCCAGTCTGCAAGGCTAATGAAGAAACCAAGTTCTGCTTCCAGGTACAAAACTGCCCCTGAACTCATTCTCATACTTCAAGTCTGCCTCTTTCTTAACCAGAGAATGGTTTTTCCAGGCAAAAAGCTGGAGGAAATGTATCCACATAAACATGGAGCTGACTGAAGTGCGACGACAGACTGACAAGACCTTTGTCTCCCTCCTGAGTGCAATCCGTTTAGGCAGGTGAGGAGAAACTCATCTCTTTGTAATCTCTGCTCCCCACCTAAGGAGCAGAAGAAAGAGCAGTTTGTCACTTTTCTGGGCTCTATCAGGAATGTGCAGCTAGGGGCAAAAGCTATAAATGCTTTACTTAACGTAGGCAGATTTCATATATCCTGCTCTGGTAAGGAAGAACACTTTCTAGGATTCCTCTTTAATTTCTGTGAGTTAATTCAGTGGATCCTGAGCTGGCAGTGGCCAGGGCAGGGCTGGGGCACACACTGGCACTGCTCTCTAACTTTTATATATCTTTCTCTGTCCTCCTCTCGGGAGGCCTGCAGCTCGCACAGACTGATCCAGCTGTGTGAAGGTTACTGCTGCTCAAGACCTGTTTCTGATCACTTTGAAGAATAACTCCCTTTTCCTGGTTGCCAGGTGCACAGAGGAGGTTACCAGGCAGCTGATGCAGACGGCCACCAACAGGTCTGAGCGTGATGGGATCCTGGCTACACGGCTCTGCACCCACAAAGATGATGTCGAAATAACTAATGAGAGACGCTTGCAGCAGCTACCAGGTGAACTGCCCGGAGGAAACTGCTGACTCTGGGGCTGAGCTCTGAGTGGATGCAGCAGGGATACCCTGGTGTCAGGAGGAACTGGTGTTCTGTCATGCACAGCAGCACCAGTTGAAGCTGTGTGTGTTGGAGTTGGGCTGCCTGGGGAAAAACTTCAGTTTTGTGCTTAAATATTCAGTGTCACTTCTTGGTGTGTAACAGACAAGCTAAGCTCATTGTTTGCTGTGAGGTAGGGTGGGGTCATTTATGGCCTCCACATCCCTGCTTTTTCTTTCTCTAGCATCTTAGGCAGTGCTCTATCCAGTCATGAATTAAGGGCTATCTCCACTTCTGCCCCCCTTTCTGGCCCTTGGATTCTTCCTTAGTCTGCTTTAGAGATCTGGTGTTGGCAGCAAGTGAAACTGGTCATATGCTCAAAATGCTGGCTGCTCAGTTCTTATTTACTGCTGGCTTTTGATTCCTGTGCCTTTTCATGCTCTGGGAGTTCTGTTGGGAAGAGAGGCAATAGTGAGCTCTCTGCTGCTAGATGTGACAAGGTTTGTGTGAAGATGTCCCAGCAGCAGAGCAGAATGGATGTTGAAAGAGGAACTGATGTTAGAAATAAATGCTGAGCCTCCTGCCATGCTGTCTGTAATATGTTCAACAGCTGCAATTTATGTATTTCATTCCTTAACAGGAGAAGTGCACACATTTGAGGCTTTGGACAGTGACCCAATGCTAGTGAAGTTAATTGATGCTCAGTGTCCTGTGGGTGGTAGAGTTGAGCTGAAGGTTGGAGCTCAGGTAAGTGTGTGTGTGATAGAACAGCAGATCAAATGGTATATGAAAAATTAAAGGAATATCAGATAAATATATAGAGCAGATTAATGTACAGAATGTAGATTCAATATAGAATGTCTATGCCAGGCCAACAGAAGATTCTATTCCAATCTTTTATATCTTTTCTGCTTGGAATCTTATCTAGACAGAGAATGAGTTTGGTTTGAGTGCAGTCCATGTCTTGGGTACAGTGGTGATTGCTGTGATTTTGACACACTTTTCCAATCAGATTTAGAAGCTTTCAGTAGCAGAGAGCACAGGCAGCTCATAGCTGCAGATAGAAGCAGCTCAAGTGAAGTGTTCAATGCTGCAAAATAGTTGGGAATCCTAGGAAGGAAGGGCTGTGAAATAATTTCAGTTGGAGATGGTGCTCTGTCCCACAATAGGCAGGGTATGATGATGTGGCCATATCAGCCTGATGTGCTTATGCTTCCTGGAAAGAAGTTTAGCTGCAGGTGGCTGAACAGGCTGTAAATCCAGGGCACTGAAGGATTTTTCTTTTTCTCTGTAGGTGATGCTAGCAAAGAATCTGGATGTGTCTCAAGGGCTGGTGAACGGGGCACGAGGCGTTGTTGTAGGATTTGAAAGTGAACAGAAGGGTAAGTAAGCTCTTTGATCTCTTGCTGAAGGAAGAGGGGAAAAATAACCAAACAATTTTTCATTGATGGCTGATGACTTCTCAACTTTGTTTGCTGCCTGGTAAGACTAACTAGAGGGAAAGCAGGGAGGAGATCTCTGCAGGCTTGGGGCTCTCACCAGCTGTGATGTCATGCACTGCATCAGCTGTAGCTATCTATGGGCCTCTTGTGTTTGCTTTTCTGTATTGTCTAGATGTGGGTGCTCATTTGCATTTCCTGTTTGTTTTGTTCAAGTGAGTTTTTGTTTGTTTTTTTTCTCAAAGAATAATGTTCTGCTACCTGCAATGTGTCTTTTTCTCTGCATCTCAACTGATAAATTATGTGACTTTAATTCTCCTGCCTTAAGTAGGAGCCAAACATCATTTCAGCACATGCTATTTACTGTCTGTGGGTTTAGGTTTGGTTTAGGGAGAAGAAGAGTGTTCTTAGGCTGCTGCCTTCCTGATTGTTGAGTGTCAGGAATACATCCCTGTTTCTCTCCTGCTCCCATTCCTACAGGGCTGCCTAAGGTGAGGTTTCTCTGTGGGGTCACACAGGTCATAAGAATGGAGAAATGGGTCTTCAAAGGACCATCAGGAGTTCACCTGAGTCGCCAACAGCTGCCTTTAAAATTAGCATGGGCCATTTCCATTCACAAGAGTCAGGTGGGTGTTCTTATACAGCAGTCTGTAGACTTTTACACCATCATAAGCCTTATTTCCTGGGTGAGCTTGCATTGCTGGTAAAACAGGAGGGAAAGCTGAAAGGCCCTTGTTGGGGTGAACTCCAGCACATGTGTGTTTAGCTGCACCTCTTCTGCTCAGGATGTCTGCCTGTAGGGTCACAGATGGGCTAGATACACTGCTGGAGTTTCCATAGGGGGGCTACCATCTGCACAGTTGGAGTTGAACTATAAATCAGCATTATTTACCACTGTGGGCTGATGAGAGCAGTGTTTCCTTGAGAGTCATCAGCACTAGTGACCCTGAGGTTTGCAGTGTAACTGAGGCAGCTGCCAGAGCCACAGCTGTGCTCTTTGGGCTGGACTTGCTCTTTGGTGGTGTGTGTTTGGTTTTTTTTTTCAATGTAACAGCATAACTTTCTCCAAGCTCCTTCCTTTCCAGAAGATTTCACACACTTTGATAAATACTGGTCTTGGAGACCTGTGAGTTTGTTCCCATGCCACTGTTTAAACCAGGGCAGGCTGTAAATTCTGCTGTGCCCAGGATAGCCCTGCAGACAGGGCTGGCCAGGCCTATCCCAAACTCTCTCTCTGGTCTGCCTGAGGACTGCTTGAAAATGGTGACTGCTCTAGTTAACTACTAGGAGTGAAACCAGCAGGATTTCTTTCCCTGCTGTGGTGATTAAATGGGATTTATGGAGTTTCCAGGTTCACTGGAGTTAGTTAGTGGATCCTACTATCTGCGAGAAGTTTACTGACAGTGGAAAACTGCCTTTCCTTTCTGATTCTTATCTTTTAATCAGTTACACAGTAAAACAAAAGACTTTTTTTTTATTTAAATCAATCAGTCCTTACACCAAAGATGATACCTTTGACAGACTCACAGGTTAGTGTTGGTACAGCACAGTGCTCTTGCCGATTTTTTCTGTAACAAAGTTCTCTGTCTTTGGCAGGGCATGTCTTTAGATTGTGTGGAAATCTCTCTGGCTCGTGTCTTTGAAAGTGGGCAGGCTTATGTAGCCCTGTCCCGAGCCCGTAGCCTTGAAGGTCTCCGTGTTCTGGATTTTGACCCAAAAGTAGTGAGAGCTGATCCTTCTGTGCTGCAGTTCTACAGACAGCTGAGACGTCATCAGCTGCTGACCCAGGTAACGAGAAACCTCATGCTGGCAAAGCCTGCTTTGTGCAACCAAGATGAGAGGTGCTGGCACTGAGATGTTCCTTTTTCTTTCCAAGATCATTCAAATTAAAACCTGTAGTGGCAGGAGAGATGAAACTGCAGGGAGAGCACGTGGCGGGGCAGCTCCTGGTGGTAAAATATCCGTGGTAGTTTTGGGATTGTATAACACCACCTGGCCCTGTGGGTCAAAGGATAGACTGGGATTCTTTGGTCTTCCTCTTGCAGTAAGGAACGAAGGGGAGGTAGGCACAATAGAAATCTGTTCCATTTTTTTTTATTATTTTTATTTTTTGATTTCTTCTTTCTCCCCAAAGGATTCACCACACACCTATTCAGATGCTGATGAGAAGGAGAACGTGAAACACAGCTGATAATGCTCTCCTGGTTTCTGTGAAGTGTCAGCGCAGACTGCTGAGATGCAGCGATCTTGCTTATTGAGTGTATTTGATAACACAGGTAAATCAAAGGAATTTTTTCTTCAAGTACACCACTGTTGTGAGATGGAAGGTGCCTGGATGGATTGGACCTGTTCACAGGAGCTGCTGACATAAGGGAAAGCAGTGATAAGTATTTGGAATACATAGTTGATTCTTCTGCAAGCAAGGAGCTGGGCTGTCCCTTTACAGCATGCTGGGGTGTTCCAGATGCTGGACACCAGGAGGCTTTGCAAAATTTCCTCCACAAGCAGAACTGCCAGCTACACATTGCCTGTTATGCTGATACGTAGCATTTTTATTAGTCTGTTGCATAAAATGTGACTTTTATGTTTTTAACCTTCTGAGATGAACTGGAGCTGTTTAAAAATAGGAGGAATTCCTACATCTTATACCTGTAATTATGTAACTACCAAGAATTGTGAACTTCTGTTACTCCATAAGCAAGAAGGGGGTGAGAGAAGATGAGTGCTGGTGAGAATTCCTCTTGTTTAAACACATGAAAGTTGCTCCTGGATAAAACCTGTCTGACTAATAAGGTGGAAGTTGTTGTGTGCAATAGGGAATAATGGCTATGGACATGTGAAGGGAGCTGTAATGTCACCTGTTTCAGCAAAAGCAGAGAGGAGCAGACCTAATATACTGTCTTAATTAAGGAGAAGCTTTGGTCTTTGTATTTTATCACTTTGCTTAAAGCTTAAGTAACTTGAATATTTTAAAACGTTTAACATAAAACATGACATAGTCTCTCGCAGGGGAATGTCTCTAACAAAACCTCTGCTGTGTGAGTGAGTGAGTTGAAGGCCACTCCTTAAAGCCAGGAAAGGATGCTGACTAGCCAGTGGTTAATATAACAGAGAACAGATTTTGATGGGATTTCAAAATGTATATTTTAAGTGAGGTTTGGGTTTTTTTAATGGGCTTGAAAGGTAGGGTTTTGGAGGGAGTCATAGCAGGAGACAGAAGTCTGACTATGATTCAGAGGGGTTCTTAATGTATCAGCACATTGTTTCTCCAAAGAAGTCTGATGGGGATGGATGAAAGTATCTGAAGCCTGTGGAAGGCAAGCCCTTTCCCCCTCGCACTGCAGGCTCTAAACTTTTTAAATTATTTTTTTTAAAACAGCACATTCCAATCCTTTGAGCTGGACATAAACTGTTCGTCCACCTTGGGGAGGAACTGAAGATTAACTTTTCCCTGCCCACACACCTGGCAAGGAGGGTGCTGGCACACCAAAGCACCACTTCTGGTGCAGATGAGCACTGAGGTGTGATTCTTTGGTCTGCAGCTTCCACTAGAGCTGGGTGAGGGCCTGACTCTGTTGCAGCCCTGTCCCCACCCAGCTGATAGTGCCAGTACCCAGGTGGGGTGCCCATGAACACGGTGTGCTCAGGTTCAGCCTCTTCCTCCTGTGGTAGGACACAGGGAGGTTTTTAGAGATGGCAGGCTGCAGTGTGAGGGCTTTGTGTTGCATTGGAGGTTGAGGTGTGGGATCTGAAATGCCCAGAATGTTAGTGAGTTTTATTCTTGGGGTAGACAGCTAGGAAGGATATGCCAGGCATGTCCACTCATACACAATATACTGATTTATTGACAGACTGCATAAGAGGGATGAGATAATGCAGGCTCGAATCCTTTAACATCTCTTAAAAAGATCCTGTATCACTGTAATGAAGAGATAATTTAGAGTGTAAGAGTGGTGATTATGCAAATAAACCTCTAATTGTGATCCTGAGGAGCAACTGACTTGACTGTAGCTTTCCTGGATTTAGGGACTGAAATCTTTACAGTTGTATGGGTTTGTTTTTTTTTTGGTGCCAAGTTGAGGTTTGAGATAAAATGCTAAACAGAACTTAAAGCTGGAAAGGCTAATCAATATTTCATGTTGGTATTAAATATACATGAATATTGTGGTTGCCTTCTCAATGATGGAACTGTGGGAACAGAATAGCAGTGACTTTTGAAGGGCTGGCAGCTGTTCTGAGGCCAAAAGGGGTCCGTCTGTGTAAATTTTGGATGTTCTCACTTGCAGCTAAAGCAGATGTAGGGATGGGGACGCTGGGTCTGAAGGCTGCTATTTAAATCAGAAAAGAAGCAGTCAGGACAAATCTGAGCTGCCAGGCTCTGTCATGGCTCCCCTTCAGTTAGGGTTGTGATGAGGCCTTTTTTAACAGGATAATACTTCCATATATACAAAGTAAAAACCTTGTAATACAATAAATATCCCTTTTTCCAAATTTTCCGTGATGTGTTGATTTTTCTTGCAGAGGGACAGTCTGTAGCTAGAAACCAGTACAACAACATGGGATTTTTTTTTTTTTAAAGAACTTTTTATTGTGGTAACTGTACTGCAAGAACAGACCTCCTCCTCTCTTCATTAGTCAGTAAAGTGAAGAAGAATCTGAAGACTGAGCAGCTTTTTCCATGATGCTGCCACAAAGCCATCCTCAAAATGTCTGGTGCTGCTGTTGCTTTCACCTGCTGATGCAAGGTGGGCTTAACAGGTTGGATTCCTGTAAGGACAATTCACATGGCTCATGACAGAGCAAGCACCTCTGCCATTCTCACTGCACAAGCTAGGAGTTCATGCTTCTCCCCTGCCCCTCCATGGATCTTCTCCACAGGCCCTGGTCCTTCAGGAATAGATCTGCTCCCCCATGGTCTCTCTGGGGGCTGCAGGGGCACCTGGAGCTTCTCCTCCACCTCTCCCCTGGGTGATCATTTCTCACACATTATTCCCCTCTGAAGAGAAAGAATTTAAGCTTGGCATTTGCCTTAACTGCAGCTATCATTAAGTGAATTAAGCTAAGAGTTTGATTCATAATTGGTATTTCTGTTACCACAAAGTACAGCCATTCTCTTTTGAAACACATTAAACCATAAGAAACTGTTTTATACCAGCTGAAGCTTCATAATACATTTATGTGTTATTGGAAGCATAATTCACAAGCAGAGTGTTATTAAAACCTTACCAGCTTCCACTTTAAATCTCTGTAGAGTGATTTACTGCCCTTCTCATTTCTTTATGTGACATTTTCACAATAATTAAACATGAATGTGTCCTCACAGTCTGTACCCAGAAGTCCTGTGAGTTCAGGAAAGGCAGCAACAGTGCTGTTGATCTCAGATGCTGTAATGAAACTGTGTCTAGTAATTAGATCTGCATATCCAGAGTTGCTCTGAAGAGATGAAACAAATACTACTCTTAAGTAATGGAAATACAGTACATTATAGGTTATGTTATGAATGCTAATTATGTAATTTTTCTCACAGACACTAAAGCTTTCTCATTTTGTATTGTGCCACTCTGTGACATGCAATTGTCTTCTGCTGTTAAATCTAAGCAGTTCTATTATGAGCCTGAGAAAGGACCTGAATTTCTAGAGATTGCATTTAGATGTGGAAAATCTCTATTTTGCTGCTTTTTGCATGATTATTTTATGCTTGTTTCTATTACAGATTATGAAGATGTTGGATGGAATTTTTTAGCTTAACTACTGACTAATACATAATTTATGAAATCTGGTTATAGAAGCAAAGTAAGTTGATAAAAGATCTAAGAGTAAAGTTTTTCACTCTACAATTGTTGAATAGTGCACATACTGATTTTTTTTTTAAATTTTTTAAATTTTTTATGATGTTGATGCAGGGGGCTGTCAGATGTGATAGAGAACCTATAAGAGCCCTTCTGGGATGGCAGCTGGGTAGGCACCAGCAGCATCCTAACTGGCACCATGTGCCCATGTGTGGGCAACTGCATTAAGCCTGCAGTGTTCTAAATGTAACTGTAACACATTTTTACTAATTGGTTTATTAAAATCTCCTTGCTATGATAAAGATGCTTCTGACAGAAGTTTGGCTAATATCTTTCATTATGATTATTTCTTTTGTCGTATGTTTTCTGTCTATTTTTTAAAAAAAGTTGTTTTTACAGAGTAATTTTTATCCTTTAAATTCATGTTAGAGATACAATGCTACTTTTGACAGACTGCTGTGTAATATTGTGGATTCTCAGATGTCAAAAAACTACAAGGTCAAAAATACTGTTTGCGATGACCTATGTATTTTAATAGAAATATTGTCAAAAGGAATTATAATCAGATTTTTGACACTTGTCCTGAAAGTGTCAAAGCCTCCATAAAATATAACACCTCAGAAACATCAGGCAAAAAGTCATAAGCATAACACTCATTCAATAATTCTGTAAGGTATAGACCATCTTACAGTGATAAGTTTCAGGAGAAATCTGGGTTTCAGGAGTATATGAGAGATAAGTATCAGCCTCTTGACAACCTTTCCTATGGTTTTCAGGAGATTCTGCAGCAGAAGGAGGCCTCAATGAACACAATATTCAGCACTGTACCAAGCTGTGACAATTCCAAGTAGCGTGTTGGGAGTGAGATACCAAGCATTGCTAAGGTGAAAGCTGTGTCAAAAACTGAAGATGAATAAGGCACATGCCCCCTGAAGAATTCTGCTCTAGAGCCAGACAAACTGAATCATTAGGATTATGTCCAGCTCAAGGCTTGCAGGCGAAGTAGATTTAGAGTAGTTACTAAGTATATTTCCAGATTCAATATGCCTATGGGCCTTTGGGATGGTTAAGAGATCTAGTATGTTCCAAAAGTGCCTGAAAGAATCATAGAATCAACTGGCTTGGAAAAGACCTCTGAGATCAAGTCCAACCCTTGAACCAACCCCGCTGTGGTTCCCACAGTATGGCACTGATGCCACATCCAATCTCATCTTAAAAACCTCCAGGGATGGAGAATCCACCCTGGGCAGCCCATTCCAATGTCTGATCACTCTGTAAAGAATTTCTTCCTAACATCCAACCTAAACCTCCCCTGGCACAGCTTAAGACTGAGCCCTCTTGTCCTACTGCTGGTTCCTGGGAGAAGAGACCAACCCCACCTGGGAACAACCTCCTGTCAGGGAGTTGTAGAGAGTGATGAGGTCTCTCCTGAGCCTTCTCTTCTGCAGGCTGAACAACCCCAGCTCCCTCAGCCTCTCCTCACAGCACTTGTGCTCCAGCCTTCTTGCTCTTCTCTGAACCTGCTCCAGCCCCTCCATGTCCTTCCTGACCTGAGGGGCCCAGAGCTGGACACAGCACTCGAGGTGTGGCCTCACCTTGAGTTCCTACCCAGTCCTTTAGCACTTTCAGTGTCACTGTGGAATGTCTAGAAGTGTAACAGTGGAGATGATGATGCCCAGAAAGGAGGGCTGGGAGCAGCACTGAGGCAAAGCCACTTCAGCAGAACTTGTAGTGCTGTGATGGGCACCAGAAAGGAGACAAGCTCAAATCAAAAAGGATGAGTTTGTCAGTTCACCTTGGGGCACCAGGTGGACGTGAAGTCTGTTCAGAAGCCTTTGGGAAGCATTATGGTGACATACAAATGACTATAACCCTTGTTAGATGCATCCCAGTCCAGTGAGGTGCCCCCCAAAAGAGTCACAGCTGGGGGTAGATACATTGCACTTGCTGTCCAGACTACAGAGCACCCAACTTTTTGGAACAGAAGAAAACCTAGCAGTGTGTTTCAGTATATCTGTTTTGGCACTCGTGAAGGATGTTTTGCTATGATGGACTCTTTGAAGAGGGGGAGGTGGGGTGGGGGAGGCATTTCTAGGACATTTAGGAGATGACAAAAAATATGTCCTACTTATAAATATACAAAACACATGTTGTGATGATGACACGTCCGTGGGCTGGTTATGTATTCATAGATTTCATCCCAAACAAGCGGCAGAAGACACAAAAAAACCTTGATAAAACTTACCAAAAGGGAAGACATAACACTTACCATGGAGCCTAAACAGAGGAGAGGATATTGCCAATGAATTAGATTCTGCAGTGGTCCCTTTCCTTCAAAAGGATCTGTTTTACTTTTACACCATGGAGCCTTCTCATTTATTTCCAGAGCTCAGTCTATGGAGCATGTTTTGTCTTCACCTCTCATTTCATAAAGACTTCATCTTGCTTTCACTGAAATATTTGCTAGAAATCAAGGGTGAACTCTTTGCTTGGCATGCTGACAACAGAGATAACTGCTTTATACCTCCTTTTTTCCCTTCCTCTAGGATTTGGCTGGGGATTCCTTGTTTATTTTGGAATTCCAAATAGATATATCTCCATATTTCAAAGGGAATTTAGTTGGGCTAAACGCTCAAGTCAGTATGTTTTTCTATAGTGAAAAGTACATTTTTTCAATACTTGTTTTGCATATTTTCCAACAACTGACAGGAAAAATTCCAACACGTATTTGGATAGAAAATGCTGCACAGGGAATAGACTTTAAAACCCAGCCCTTCATTTGGAGGGAAGAGAAGTTGATCTGGTGGTATTAAACACTCAAAAGTAAACAGCTGCTGTTCTTTTCACTTTTTCAGAAGTGCAGGATTGTTTTCTGCCTCCAAAATATGCAATTTCATTAAAGAGAAGATAATTGACAATAAAAGCAGGGGGATAGTGCATGTTTTGATCTTATCTGCTATGTAAGTGACATAATGTCAGAAAAAACCTGCATTGCCTACTTAGACAGCAGGCTGGAAGCTGCTGTTATTTTCTATCAAATAAGATATTCAAAAATCAGTTCTACAGCTTATAAGCAGTATGGAGGCTTAATTGTTTCCTTATGCTGCATTCTGCAAATATACCAAATGATAACAACTAATTAGTGTGCCAGACTGTTCCTTGATGTGGAGTGTCTGCTGTGTCTTAATTTTTGTCTCGAGCAGGTATTTTCACAGAGCTAACTCATAATGTCTTGCAGTCTCAGTGTAATCCTAGCTCAATATTTTGACACTTAGTCCCTTGACTGCCTCTTGGAGCTTCTTTGCCAAGGGGTCCCCCCATAACCTGTCGGGGAATCTGACACGCACCTGGACATGTGCGGATGGCACTGTGAGACAAGTCACGTGGAACGCCTGAAGGATGCGATAAATATTGCATGCCGTGCAAATTTCTGTTGACAGAGATATCTGAGGGAGAGTGAAACTCTTACCCAGCTGTTTGAAGGACTTTGTATGGAAATGAACCACTGGTAGTGCTCTAGGAATTGCCACATTGCATCAGAACGGGAAGTTTGATTTCTTCCCCTCGGCGATGCCTACTGTTTTATAATCTGGTTATTGAGAGGATGAAGGACTACCCTTCCAGGAATATGCCAATCTAAGTCACTCAGAAAG